TATCTTGGAAATATGACAGAAACACAGCTGAAGGACTATGACAGGCTCATCAACCTACCCTCTAATGATTGGGACATTTATTACTGGGCTGTTGGTAAGTTGTGTGGTTTTGCTGTATCATTTTGTGTTCTGCAAGGCCTATTTGTAACAGGTGTGAAAGAAGTACCTGCTGACAAACTGTTGCTCTATTACTCCGACAAGTCTCGAGTACAACAGTTGTCTCTGTTTGTCTTCTCCAACCAAGTTGGCCTAGAGTTCACTTCAGAACGGTCTCCTTTTATCCCGTTTCAACACTGCCTCGAGCTAGACACTCACAGATTGCATTAGTTTCAACTGCTGTTTCTGCTGTGGACACTATATGTCAGACAACGAGGAAACTAAGGATTGAAACCCGGAGTAGCCTCTAGAAGTGGATGGAGGTGGATTTGAAGAAATGTGGGGGTTATTGCATGTTGAGTGCTGAATTGATCCATGATTCCATGGACTGAAACAATGAAGGAAAGGGACATGATTTTGAATGGAAAAAATGAAAGTTTTTGCGAAGCACAATATTCCTGTTTTATTTTTTTCTCTGTCCTGAAATGTATGCTAATGCAATGGAATACTGAAATAATTTCTACCAAAATATAATTTGTGTCAAGCACTCCCTTGTAACGCAAATGATAATTTATTTCAAACCCACTTTTTATTATTTGTCAGATTGTGCAAGCTCGCGTTATGAGGCAATACTTCATTGTTAGCTCTGTGAGAAATTCAGCTGCATCTGTGACTCCGAATCCCCAGCTATGATCCCAAGCGCTTTGTGCACCTCTCTATTTGATTTAGCCCGCCGTCTGGTTGAGCATCAAAAGGTGGTGATCATGAACTTTTCTAATTGGCTAACTAATCGAAGCTCGAGTAAAAAATTTGAAATATTGCAAGATAAACGTTTAATCTTGTTTTTAAAACCTTTAAAGTCAATTTTTCTGTTTGACAACGAGATAATGAGGCTGTTCAGAGCTCATGTTGTCAACAGAGACAAACAGAAGAGGTTGGTTCAACCGGATCTCAAGTGAAGTCTTGCCAGAGGAAAATAGGGCAAAGTTGTGACGGAGCAGCTAGACACTCACAGATTGCATTAGTTTCAACTGCTGTGGACACTATATGTCAGACAACGAGGAAACTAAGGATTGAAACCCGGAGTAGCCTCTAGAAGTGGATGGAGGTGGATTTGAAGAAATGTGGGGGTTATTGCATTTTGAGTGCTGAATTGATCCATGATTCCATGGACTGAAACAATGAAGGAAAGGGACATGATTTTGAATGGAATAAATGAAAGTTTTTGCGAAGCAAAATATTCCTGTTTTATTTTTTTTCTCTGTCCTGAAATGTATGCTAATGCAATGGAATCCTGAAATAATTTCTACCAAAATATAAATTGTGTCAAGCACTCCCTTGTGACGCAAATGAGAACCCACTTTTTATTATTTGTCAGATTGTGCAAGCTCACGTCATGAGGCAATACTTCATTGTTAGCTCTGTGAGAAGTTCAGCTGCATCTGTGACTCCGAATCCCCAGCTATGATCCCAAGCGCTTTGTGCACCTGTCTATTTGATTTAGCCCGCCGTCTGGCACTCGTAGTTTTCCACCACTAGTACTTGAAAAGATTAACCGATTGATTAGCTTCGAGCTCATTTTTTAAACTTTATAACGTTCTATTTGCAAATTAGAACAAAAATTTTGGAAATTTCAGTTAAAAAGGACTGTCCATCATCTTTCCAAAAGAAAAAAAAATTTTGAGCGTATGATAGTACGCATGAAGAACCAATACCAATTATGATACGGAGATTCCAATGATGGTGTGGTAATCCTTGATCGCTGGATTAAACAAAGAAAACCGTTGAGAGTTATGTGTTCCTTTACTTCGAAATCCTCTTTTTACATTGACAGTAATCCCCTGTGCTACTTCGTAGCGATCAATGCGTAGCCATTTAAAGAACTACAAATACGCTTATGCTAAGCCCATAAACGCAATCACATCAGTTCTCTTAGATGACTTAAATGGTTTGAACAGCATCGAGATCCTAATCAAATAAAATCGTCAGTGTATAATAAAAGACCCTGTTTTCCAGAGTTCCGTCGCGAGATCGACGTATTGTTGTGCCTTCGCTTTCCGTCCAAAATATGGTGACGTGATGAGACAATCTTATCGCGCAAATTTTTAATTTTTAAATCGAAATTCGTGGAAAAACCAAGTGCGATGCTCTGTGATATCATTTACAATTTTGCGAGTATCCTGCTTTTTGCGACTGTGATCTCCGCCGTCAATCGCGGGACTGACGATCGATTGTTATATGATTACGGGGTCTCCACAACGACGCGAAGACCAGTTACTCCAAAGGTGGATCCTTTCGAAGCCGATGACTTAGCTCGACAAGAACTCGACGCAATTTATGGACCAACCGGAAATTATGGAAGAGAAAGGAGACCATTTCCGGGAAACATGGCTTCACAAAGAGACCAGATACCATTCGATTCAGGCCACGCATCAGTCAGCAGGGACCGAAATCCGTCCGAAGACGGAAGATCGTTCCAAGGCGGTGATGAGAACCTAAACGAACAGAAGCCTGCTGTGATGAACCAAACCGTCTTAAGCCGAGATCGTCGTCCATTTGAAGAAGACAAGTTTAATCGTCGACCTTATGAAATAGACAGGGATCGCAGACCTTATGATATCGACAGGGATCGCAGACCTTATGAACGTGATCGCAACATAGGCCCGGACTTGTCTTATGGTCGCGATAACCGCTACAATCCGGGTTACGGATCGGGTTTGTTCGGAAGCAACAGGAATTATCCCACTTCGCTTCGTGGGAGTTGGAATGAATTTAACGTGGACCCGAACAGGCCTTATGACTCCAGAACTAGGAACACGTTTAGACAAGGTGCGACTAGATACCGTGCTGGAAGAGTGCGGGAAAACGACTTGGGATGTCCGACTTGTGTTCAGTGTGGTCCAATCTCGGATTGGCGTTCCGATTTGCAGGGATTATGCAGAGAAAGCCATGCTCATGGGCTGGATCAGAGCGTGACTGTGAAAACTGGTTACGGCACCATCGAAGTAAGTGGTTCTTACGCTATAATAAGACAATACAAGCTCTGGTCTGCTCGAATTTTGAGTTGCTAACAGAGCTAAAACCTGTCGAGACCTACAAAGAAGAGAAAAACATCTTCGGGACGATAATTGAGCTTAGTTTAAATCGACATCTTTTTTTCAAGTTCAAGTTTTTTTTTTGCTATTGTTGCAATTATGTTGTTATTCACGAAAATATCGTATCGTTTCTGTTTCGACGCAGAAGGATAATTGCATTATGCTTTTGCTGAACTAATTTGAACGACAAATGGAGAAAATCGTCCAGGAAAAATTGACAAATGACAAACTGATCAAGGAATTACATTTTTGTCTCGTCTGGAACATCTAACTTATTTTGGCCATTGCATATTTACGGAAGTTCGTGGAAGTAAAGCGAAATAAAATTTTGAACACTAAGATATAGATTCCCGTTTGAATTGTCCTGTTATCGTTTAAATATTCCCGTTTTTTACTGTATCTGTTCCTTTGTTTTATGGTGGACGGTATGGATTAGGGTTTTTGATTTGATGTGTCCTTTTCAGGTTAGATTTCTTCGCCGAAGACCCTGTAAAATTAAAATTTGACGACGAAGCTTCTTGGACCGATTGTGTGTCTTGCTAATACTGTATTTTTCGATCTGCAAAATTGATAATTTCAAATTAATAGCCTTTACTCCTTGAAATACCGATGCATGAGTTCTTCTCGAATCTTAGTAGATTTTCCTCTATTACCTTCAGCTGGATTCGAATTCTCTAGCATTTTCGGATCCCCGATGAAGTCAAAAGGAGCCCTTATTGAGAAACTAAGATCCAAAAATGAAATCGTATTTTACTCAAAGTGCAAATACTGGATTAAAGTCCCAAAGATACACATAGAAATACTGCCGGGGCCTCATGCTCTCAAACTGTCTGGACCTGTATTAAACTAACTGTGGTTCTACTTTTCGCAACAACACAATCTTGGGATTCCTTACGCCATGCCTCCGATCGACGACCTAAGATTTAAGGTGAGTTTCATTCAGCCCAATGATTAATGTGGGATTCACAGAACTGAACAGACGTGTGTCGGCAAATATTTGCTGAGTATTTGAGAGATAAGCTCGAATTTTATCCGTGATATGAGTGGGTGTTGTGCTTTTATTTAGGAAGATTTTTGTGAGAATGTTGCGGCGTTCCGCGGCATGGGTTCGCGTGGGAAACCGGAAATGGGGTGATTGTCCCTTTCCGGCGCCCGGATGATCCCCCGAGACACCCGTAATTATCCATGGAACACTCATGAAGTATAGATAATGATCGTGCGAAGTGTTGCGATTTTTGTTTGAATCCTTTTCCCTTTCCCGAGTTCAAACATGAGTGACGAGTAGATTTTGCGCTGTTGAAATCCGAGACCTGGTGTGAATAATTGGCTTAATAATCCACGTTATGAAGTGTTTTTTTCTTTTTTCAAATGAAGGCCTCTTGAATACTCTGAATAAGGTGGACATTTTATTATCTGGGACTCTCGTTTTTCCGCATTTTTAAAGATTCGCAGTGATGTTGAAAGGTTTTGTCGAGCTTTGAAGTGCAGTAATATTTTTTTTCACGAATTTTCAACGTAGGTAAAATCCGATTTGCGTGAAAATTGTGTGTCGAAGTTCGTACATTTCTAGTCTAATTGCTGGTGAGCGTGAAATCCCACGAGTGACTCCCATTCCATGACGTGTTTTTCAGCCATTTATTTATTTTGTTTTTGGTAACACGTCGTTTTTTGTTTTTTTGTTTTACAGCCTCCTCGTCCACACAAAGGCTGGCAATTATGGCAGGCGACGGATTTCGGACCAGCTTGTCCCCAGCCAGCCAGACACGTTGGTGGGGCACAAAACGTGTGGGAAATGGATGAAGATTGCTTGTATCTGAACGTTTACACGCCTTCTGTTAGTATTTTGTTGTTGTTTATTTCTCTTTTATTCAATTTTTTTTATGCGCCGAGACAGGGTTTTGTACAGATAAGTTCGAAAAATAGCAGGTTCATTGGAACCAAAAATGACAAAATGTCGCTCTTGAAGGCTTTTTCTATATACAGTATTCTTGTTTTCTCCATTATTTAATCTCTTTGAAAATTTTCAAACTTTTTTAATGAGAAAAAAGAGCTTTGAAGATGAAAAAAAGGAGACAGATGTCTGGGGATTCCAGAAAGTTAACGCGACCGAAGGCAATTTTGTGATCAGAAATTTTTCGATTCTGGCGAGTTTCCGAATTTTTCTTGTGACTGACGTCACTTTGTTTTTGGCCGAAATGTTTTATCATTTGTATTTATTTATTTATGTACTGTATTTGTTTTTGTTTGTGTGTTCGTGAAGGTTTCTGGGGCAGTTGTGAACAAGTATCCGGTGATTGTGTATATTCACGGTGGACAGTTTGAACACGGAGCATCGAACCAGTTCCCACCTCATGCTTTGGTGGCCTGGCATGAAGTCGTTGTTGTGACTTTCAACTACAGACTCGGGGCTTTGGGTGAGATTGCAAATTTGTTTTTTTGGCTTGTGAACTGCACAAAAGAAAATTGGCGAAGAAAATTCAATCAAATTTTTTTTGCAATAAAGGGGGGAATATCAGCACAGGAGAAAATGGTCAAAATGAAGATTTGTTTTTCATTTTCGTTGCGAAAATTTACTCGGAAAATAGTGAATTGTGATGAACCTAGAGTTGCCAAATTCTTGTTTTGCTTTATGGGAGATGAATTATCTCGTCTGGAAAAATCCATGCTTTCCAATTGTTTATCCTATTTAGAAGCATTATCGGCTGATCGTTTTGAAGACTGTTCTAAATTTTCTCTTTTTTTTTAATTTATGTGTGTTGTTGATGTAACTCGTTTTTTAAATTAGCTTATTTTAACTGAAAAAATTTTTCTTTCAGCTTGGGTTGATGTAACTCACATCGTTTTTGCTCTAATAAATTACTGTATTTTGAGAACCATCTGTTCTCGATAACGTTTTTTATGCGTAAATTTATTTCTTTTTTTGAATTTTTTGAAATGCGAAGTCAATTTGGGGAAAGATGCTCAATTTATAGAGCTTTCAATATTTAATGTAGATTGTAAGTCAGCCGTGTTTAATCTTTTAAATTCGTTTGTTTCATCGATCTCTCAGATTCGAACAGAAACATTTTTCATTAGATTGTATATGTATTTATATACAGTATTTTATTTTATTCATATAATTTCAGGTTTCCTGAGTACCGGAGATGAACATTCACCAGGAAACTATGGGATGCTGGACCAGGCTTTGGCCATTCGTTGGGTCTATGAAAATGCGCATGTGTTCAATGGAGACCCGAGGAGAATCACGTTATGGGGTGTGGGTGCTGGTGCAGCTGCAGCAGGGTTGCACGTGCTGACCCCGAGGACCAAGGACAAGGTCTTTGGGGTGTTTGCCCAGAGTGGGTCTGCCTTGGCTGATTGGGCTGCCATCAAGGTAATTTTCAATCCCAGTATGATCATTTGGTTTGGTTTTCATAATTTCTGCTGATGATTTGGGGGGAAAGAAGAGGGGCATTTTTATTTGGATTGAATACTTTTCTATTTTTGAAATGTCTTGTTGAACAAGTTACCAAGTGAAGCAGAAGTGAGGAATTATTTTTTTTGAAGCAGGAAAGATGTGGGTGACATCTACCCGCACTGAATGCACTGGTCAGCAGAGACAGACAAAATAAGGAAATGCACCATTTAAATTTCGTTGTTGCAGAATGAAAAAAATCAGAACTTGGAAAAATGAACCTAGAGATAAATTATTGAGGATATGAAATAGGGGGAAATACGGGATTCGTTTCATGAATATATTGTCCAAACCATGAAAGCAAACCATCGAATTTAAAGTATGAAAGAATTCATTGAAATTCGGCTCTGTTTCAGCTACCAGAACAAGCAAGAAACACCAGTCGAGTTTATGCCGCAAGGATTGCTTGTCCAAACGACAATGCTTTCAAATTGGTCGATTGTTTGAAGAAGGGAAGGAGTTTCAATGAACTGGCAAACCAGGAAATTGAAGTGAGTTCTTTCATGTGCGTTTAAATCTTTACTACGAGAAAACAACAACGTTTTTAGAAATCGAAACTTTGATATATTTCATACGCGGATAAGTTTCAAACTACTATAAAGAACATTTAAATTAACTTAACTTTTATAAAATAAGTCACATTGTTTAAGATTTATATCATGCTATTTGCGAATTAAATATTTTCATTGCAATTTTGGCATTCGATTACTGAAAGCTCCATCCTTATTCTGGTTGAATATGTGTCTTCAAGTTTTCCAATCTTTACCATTAACTTTCTTGATTTTGAAAATCTTTCATTCTGTACTTTCGAATTAAATCTTCTCCCTTCATTTTTTTTTGCATTTGATTCCCTGAAGCTTCAGCATTATTTTGCTTGAACATCTCTCTTTGAGGATTCATTCATGAAAATCATTTGTAAGAGTCATGTTGATTATGTGTGTTTTCACTAAATTATTTTCTGATTGTTTCACCTTGAAATCATCTGATGTGATTGCATTTTTTGTTGTTATTTCTCAAGCCTGACCTGGGATTGTTTACTTGGGCTCCAGTGGTGGACAAGAAGATCAAGAAGCCCAACTGGCACACGGATCAACCCCCTGAAGACTGGTCATTTCTGCCTGATGAGCCAGAGATTTTGCTAGACAGAAGAGAACACAGGCTTGCTCAGTACATGACTGGGTTGACCAGAGATGAAGCTTCTCACATGCTTTGTAAGTCATCATCATATGGCATATTTCCATCGAGGGATGTTATTATGGTTGTTCTGGATGCTTAATGTAGTTGAGAACAAGACACTGGCGCCATCTTTTGAGGTTGGACAACAGTTCATGGATGAGCAGATCAGGAAGTATGTTCACAAGTACAATTTTACTCTGAATCCTGGAGGAGTTTTTGATGCCATACAGTCCCAGTACACCTTTTGGCCTGATCCTACAAACACAACTATGATCAGGGAAGAGTACATCAATGTAAGTAAAAAAAGAAAGGACTTGCTCTTGAGTGTTTTATGTTCAATTTGTGCGTCTGTTTTTTTAGTTCCTGTCAGATTCTTACATGTTTCGGGGTCACCTGTTGTACCACTTCTCTTACCAAGAACGACCCTAAGGTTGAATGAAAATACACTACTTGTGGTGACACCTTCGTCAGTCTGAAGGGAACACCTCTGTTCACGGAGTACCAATTGATTCTTTGTTTCTGGCTGGGGCTCCTTTCATGGACAAAGGTCATTTTTTAAAAAACATGTTATGAGATTTATGTATTGAAAGCTGATGTTTTGTTCTTGTGCAGAATTTTTTCCTGAGTCCATGAGAGTAGACAAGAGAGCTTGGACAGAAGGTGACAGGAATATGAGTGAATTCTTCATGAAAGCTGTGGCAAATTTTGCTCATCATGGGTGAGTTTGTTGTTGATGTGTCCTTATTTTTTTTCTTAAAGGTAATAATGTCTTTTCTTTTGTGATTTCACAGGAAACCAACTCCTGAACAGATTTTGAACATCAACTGGGAGAAAGCACTTCTTGGAGATTTGAGGTACCTGAATGTGAACAATACATTCAACACCTCTATGCTGACAAATTATAGACAGCAATACTTTGGATTCTGGACAAACTTGTACTGGTGGGAACCAACTGGACCAATTCAAATTGCCTTCTGGGGAGCCTCAGGAGCTGCCATTTTGTTTATGATCATCGTAGGAGTCTGTTGCTGCTTGTGGTGTTCATCCAGAAGGTGAGAGACAAATACTGTACCAGGAAGATGGTACCATGTGGCCATGAGCTGCAGATACAGGTGCACTCTTTTTTCAACACAATTCAAGGGACCAGAAACAAATTTGTTGCAGAGAACCCCTATTGCATGGGGAGGAAATCTCATGGGACCAAACAATTTTTATGGTGCAGAAAAAATTGTAGACAATGTTTTTGAAGAGAGAGTCCAACTGTATACAGTACTGTAATTACTTCTTAGACTGTTTCCATATGTTGGCATCTGTGAAAAAGGTTTTAATCAATTCCTAAAATGGGAAAGAATCCTCTAAAAATGTATTCTTAACTGTAGAATATGTAAACTCTAACACTGTGCTGAAAATAACAATCCTCAAATTTGCCATTTTGGCATTAAAATGAGCCAGGAAGGCACAAAAAAGCACACTTTTCCCCATACTTTACAGAGTTGAGTAAAAAAATTGTGGAAATAATTGCATGCATTTATACAATTTTTAAAATTATATTGGAGCACATTTATGGTAAAATTTTGTTTCATATTTTTTTTCAGCTGACTTTGTGTAAGATATGCAAAAAGTTGAATAAAAACAGGTTGATTCCCTCTACAAAAACACTTCAGAGGACCGAAAAAATTCGTTGTAGAGAGGATTTATTTTAGAGAACCCCTAAAGCATGAGGAGAAAACCTTAAGGGACCACAACAAATCGTTATACAGTACAGAGAAAATTTTTTTGAAAAAGATTGTTGGAAAATGGAGAGTCCACCGGTAGTTTTTTTTTTTCTTGAAACTTTTGGTGAAGTGCTTATACCTTGAGACATTCTGCAGATTATTCGCATTCCAAGTTTCCATAATTCAAAGAGTCTGCTTTTTCCTTGTGCTTTGATTGATTAACAAAAATTATTGACTGATGATGATTGATTCTCTGGTTGCAGAGCCTTGACAAAAATGCGCAGGGAATTTGACGACTCAGTCCTCTATCCGTGTGTGGAAGAGAACTACAATGCATTTGCCACTCCTTCTTCAATACCTGCAACCCCTCTTCCACCCCCGTCGTCTACCCTGGCACTGATCCCCGACAGCAAGGAAGATCTTTCTTCCAGTCAAGCCGTCATCATGAACCCAGGGAAGTATGCCAAGAACCAACAGGCTGTTGGGTACACCAAGCGCAGTGTTGCCAATGGCAAGGAGAGGCCCAGGTCTGCAGTTGGGATGGGCAATGGTAGCAACAGCAGCAGCAGACCTGATGTGTATTCTCAGTACAAGTGAGGCCATCTCAACATTCTTTATATTTTATTTTACTGAAAGCTCAACTTGTTGTAATTAATTGAATTTAACGCGCATTTCAGGTAATGGAAACCAGGAGTTTTGACCATAAATTGTTGGTATAGATCTTTCCCCCTCATGAGATGTGAATCTCAATTTTCCCTCATTTTGGTGATATGAATCGTAGAATTTATAATCATCATTCTGGTCTCAAATGAATGTTGAATTAAATTGCAAGAAGTGTAGAAAAGCAATCGACTTCAGCTGCAGAGTTTAAATTCCTCTCATATGTACAGTATTTGTAGTTCATGATATAGTTCACTTTGAAGGAACTTTTCTCCCTGAGCCAAAAATGAATTTCAGATGTAAATTCACTGAGAACTTGGCAGGAAATGTTGGTCTGATCTTGAAAATGTAATCATTCAGAAGCCAGCGAAAGTGAGAATACAAAGTTAGCCTGTATTAAAGAAATTTTCAACTTTTTGTAATGCTTAATTTTCTTTTTTATTCAGAGTGAAAAATCTCACAAACTAGAAATGCTAGAATTTTAAGATAAATTCAAACTGTGACTTCATGGGGTGTTCTCATGAATACCATGGTCTCTATGCCCACTTGGAATTGAAAGTGCCTAAGTTGACTCAAAAATAATCAGTGTCATAATACTGTATTAGATTTTGTAGTTGCAAAAATGTGTCCTTTTTATATCCAGTACTTTTTAAAAGGAAAAGTGATGAATGTGCTGTTCTTCTGCAAAAACGGTAATTTTGTCCTCATACTTATTGGAAGCATAATTTATAATATGTGAATTTTGCTTACTTCAAATTCTTGAAATAATGATATTGAAATCTCTATTGTCTGTGAATTTCAGCAGCACACATCTGAGTAAATCAAGTGATGAGCTGGCCTCAGGATACCATGAGAAACCCATGCCAGTCAGCAAAAGTTCTGATCGGTTGGTTGAATATGACTCCTCAAGGCGTCCATATCCTCCTCAACAGCAGCAGCAGCATAATCATCACCATCAACAGCCTCAACAACAACAAGCAAGACCCCAGACAGTGAAACCAGTTCCACCAGTGGTTGCCAGAAAACAGCAGCGCATGGATGAGCCTGATTTCAGAAGTGCTCCACCTTCTGCAACATCCACACTTCTAAGCCGGAGTAATTATGATGCAGACACATTGCCTATGTCCAGGAGATCCTATGTTGTGGATGATGGAGTGGCATCTGGCATAGGAGTGCCAGTGCTGCCATCTGTGGCTCAGAGATACACTGGCAGCAGCAAACATGGTGACACTTCCGCATCATCCTTGTTGTCTACAAATTCATCCTCCAAGCCATACTTGGAAAGCACTTGCTGAGTGCTGGGATACCATGAATATATATTTTTGGCATCCCATTATGAGGCAAAGTCTGAAAAGTTCTCAGAAACCAACTGCGGAAATGGCCATGATTTTGAGGAAGTTTTATGATTCCTCATTCAAGATGATTTATTTGACAGATGGTTACATTCTACCTCTGAATTATTTTGCCAAGAATGTGCCTTCTGGGTTGTTTCTGAGTACTCTTCAGATTTTACAGATATTTTTTTGTATCAGGGCTGCTGGGGGACTTGATGCTGAACAAGGAAGAGAGAAGCAACAAACAAAGGTTTTAAAATTGTCTCTGTTTGTCAAAATTGAGCCATGTAACAAAGCTGCCTTCTCCCAGCAGCCCCTTTGCTCAGGATTGGACGTAGTATGTTAGCAGGCATTGTGTGTCAAAATTTGCTTATGTTCAGCCATGCTTCAGCCGCCCTTGGAGCTGCTCCCAAGGGCATTTCGTTTTTTTTATACATTTGGTAGTGGCAGGTGTGTTTCTAGTTTAATGATCTCTTTCTGGCAAGTGCCACATATTGAAAAGCACTCCGTCTGTTGTTTATTGTAATATTTCGCTCGTATCTGTTGCATTCATTGTTCAGGAAATCAGTACAATGGGGGAAATCATAGCACATTCCTAGTGGATTGTATGGAGCTTGAAAGCGTGCTTTTTTTTGGTACATTTTATTCTCTCAAGAGCGCATTTTATTGTTATTGGGATGTGAAGTTATTTCGTTGCGGATTGATGTCAGCTCGTGTGAAGCCAAGGTTGTCAGCTCTTGTGTAACTGGATTCCACCCCTGGTTCTTTTTTTTTTGTTGCTCTTGTTTTTGAATCCCAGGAATTGATCGTCTATTTTGCAGCATACATTAAAAAGAGTTTTACGCGGAAGTTCTTGATTTCAGTGAAAAAAACTCGGGCATGTATCGATCAATCAACCTTGTTGCCACACCCAGAACAAGGTTCAGCGGAAGTTGCTTGTTTTTGAACATATAATGAGCAAAGCACTTGAAAATCACATCCAAAAACAAAACATGTACAGGAGAAGCATTTGTTTAAAATTCTGAGATCTTCTTTTGAAGGTTCAACCCATGGAAGCAATATTTGACACCCACAACAAACAAACAAACAAAAATGGGAAGGTTTGAAAATACTGAAACTGCAAGACATGCTCCGGAAATTGTTTGACTAGCCTCGAAGAAAACAAGTGAGCTGCACGAAGGAATAGAGTACTTCTTGGTAACGTTTTTTAGAAGCCACTATATAAAGAGCACCTGAACCACATAAAAAATAACGAAATACTGTCGCTTCTAAACATGCCAGTGACAACAGCTTCAATCGAGAGGAAAAACTCCAACTTGACGCACACAGCCACTTCAAGGCACATTGCAAAGATCATTCCGTGAAGCCATGACATCCTATCCGATTGACAGGTTGAAATTGTAAATACCCCTTTTCAAAATGGCGAAAATCCCCATTAATCGTAATAATTCATTAAAAAATAAATCTGACCTCGGATGGATTCATAAGAACAACCTTAACCACAATAATTTCCTGATCTGTTGATCCAAGCACATGTAAGACAGAACATTTCTCAATGCAACTTGTTGAAGATCTTACACATGAAAATGGACAGTACTCCACGTTTCCAAATGTAATCACAAGACTGAAGATACAGTTAAAATTGAAACATGCCATTGCAAATGCAATCAAAGAATTTAGATGTGAGTGATTAAAATCTCTGTTCCAAAATTATACTCGAAGGGCCTTCAGAAGCAATGATTAAGCAGACAATTTCATATCTAAGTAATATATAAAATAAATTTGTTAGATGCACATATTTAAGCAGAGGTCAATCTATAATAATTGATTTTACACACATGATCCAAACCTTACACAAGAAAGGCTTTGAAAAATCACTTGCATGTAAGCTTTTCATAGGATTATTTACTATAAGAGCATTATGTTGACAGAGTTGAACTCTAATGGAACCTTATTTAATTTTCAAGGTTAATCCACCTAAAAATCTCAATCAGTCCGGTACAGCACAATCATGCACATAATTTCCAATGCCCACACATTAAATTAATTAATTTAACTTGTAAAATATTTCATAATTTTTGAAGCTGATATAAAATAAATCTTCACTAAATATCAAGGGAATTTTACAGGGTGGCCTTAGATATCTCATACCAAGTGAGAACAATGTCATCATACAGTGGTACCTTGGATAATGAATGCCTTGCATCATAGATTTTGGCACACAGAAAAAGGATTCCAGCAGCCACCAATTTGGGCAAGATACATTGTTTTTCTTTCAATACATATCTTTGGAAAAGAACTTCTAGAATTTATATTTATTAAGCAGGTGAAATATTCTGTGAGACAGCCAATTAAATTCAAAATAAAGTAATTATAATTTGCTACATACTAACAGAAAATGTAAACTGAATCACTAAGGATCTCACACAAGCTAAAAATTCAGTATTACATACAGTATTTAGGGAATTCTTGGGCCTTGGGACCCAATTAGGCATTCTATACACACAACAGTAAACAAAATTCGTTTTAAAATGGATTCTCCCTTACAATGGAATTTCTGATCCTTTCCAGAGTAGCCAACATGATTTCAAATCTTGATACATCAATATTTCCATTACAAAGTATTTTTTTGGCTCAGGTCCCAATATCTTAGTTGCATCAAAACTCCAAATCTCACTTGAATGAACTCTCTCCCCTGGAAATGGATCAAGCCCATTAACCAAGGCACCACTGTACATAAAAGGGATATTTCCACTATAACAAAAAAGAAGGATAGACAAAGAAGAAGAAAAAGCGAATCTTTTACAAGGTATGCAACAAGGCCACGCTCTTGTACTGCGGCGGAGGCTGGTCACCAGCAACGACATCATCGTAACTCGGCGGCGGATCCGGCGGCGCAGATGGCGCCTCTGCAGCCATGGCTCGACTCCTCCTCCGCGCCACAATCTCACGCTGCTTCACTCTCAAATACACCACACTCAGCAACGACCCGAAAAAGATGATGGTCACAAACACTGCGAATCCCAAAATGGGCGCAGTCCGAGTCTCAGACACAACAAAATGCTCTTCTCCTTCTTCATTTCCAGCAATTCCGTTGTCGCGGAAAAACGGCGGAAGGTCGACGGGGGCGCGAATCAAAATGGCAGCGCCGCGAGACCGGTTCACCACGTGCAAGCAGCGGTCGCGAAACCACCGATAGGTGTCGCTCGAATCGGCACTTGGCAAACAAAGGCATTCGCCATTAGCACAAGTCAGGCCGGTTTGTGGGCAGCAGTCTTCAGTGTTGGTGCACAATTGGCGATGAGAACTGCACTCCAGGATAATGTCTTCCCAGGTACTTGGACGACTGTTCACTCCCAGTGTCATCATCAGGAGAAACAAACAGAAGAACAGACCTGCACTCATTTCACACATGTTCTCTCTTGTGTCTGTGAATGTAAAAGAAAAATTCATAAGTATTCAATATGATGTCAAGAAACATAAACAAAACCAAACTTAAGAGTGGCACCACAAGAAAGGGATGCCTCGCATAATGGACTTGGGCAACCACAAGTGATTGCTTAAGTTTATGATAAGCCTCAAGAAAATGAGGCAATTTCCATATAAAAAATTGACCTTGAAAATTTTGCTTCCAGAATAATTTTTGATTTGAAAATAATCCGTTTAAAAAATGAATTTATTTTGGACACTGCCCTTTTCTGCTCTACTTTTCATGCTGACCTTTTATTCATTTACCTATTATTTTCATGGTAAGTTTTGCAAGGACATTTTGCAGTGATTTGAAATCCAAAAAGCATCACAGGAGATTGGTTCAAGTCCATAAAGCGAGACTCCACACAAATATACGACGAAATTCATCAAAACACACAACTTGCAATCAAATGAGAGAATGTCTCAAAAATGTGAAAACTTTTACAATTGAAAAAAAAAATTCCACTAATTCGAAGTCATGGGAAAGTTGCTGTGATAATCATGCTCATTTCATTTATTAAACAGCAGCATTTCATGATCGAAATTTTAATACTGGGAAAAAAATAAGCCAGGGAACATTTTTGCTGAGGTGTTAATTATTCAAGAATTTTGTATGTTCATTTGGAATTATAAATCACTTATTGAAAGGCAGAGAATTTCAGACTTTTCTCACAAGTTTGGCTTTTCAGCATTGATACTATTAACAGTTAAAATTCATACATACAGTACATTCAATTTTCAATACCCATACATACTTCAAAATTTTTTAAAACTTGGAATTACACAAAGGTTGATATAAAAATAGCCTGAAAACCAACTCCTCACTTTGGGGAAACAAAGTGAAGGATTTTCAATTTTGAGGAATACAAACATTTCTTTAAAATTCAGATTAGAGACTTTTTCCAAAACCCTAGATATGGAAATTATTTTAACAATGTAATTTAATGCAACTCAAAACTATTTCCGGGTGGATCATCAGTTGACCAAGAGCGAAAAAGGGCTCTTTGCTTTCACAAAATGGACACTGACTCATGTATAGTTGCAAGCTGTCAACAATCAATACAAACAAAAAACAAACCCGCATTCCATCTTCCAACATCTTCGTTACATGTACCAACAAGGATCTTTCTTTTTTTGTCTTTTTTCCCTCCTTTTTTGTTTTCTTTTTTTTTCTTCAGCACAGCAAACAATGAGATCAACGTTCCTCGGGCACTTCCTTGATCCCCCACTAGGGGGGGACGGTATCGAACCGCGACACACAGTTCCGAAAGGAAAAAATTTACCCTCAGGTTTCGCAGCAGAAAGCACATCGATATCCATCATAAATATAAAAGAAAACACACTTGAAAAAAACCAAGCGTTGACAAAAAACTGAACAACAAGAAGCCCTCTTTTTTTTGCGCAGAAATTGACGAATTCTTTCGAGCACGAGATACGAATGTTTTCCCGAAAGTCTCGGGACTTACTCATAAATCGTCATTGCAGTCGGATGAATTAAAATGTCATATTTTTCAAAAATTGATTTCATTTATTCTTCTATCATTGAAAAATTAAAAACTATTCGAGCGTCTTACATAAGGCAAATGTTTAAAAAATTCATCCATCAGTCAATCGATGAAAAACTGTTTTTCTTAATGGAAAACTGTTCAGGATAAAACTCAAAACTGCAACTAAATGGCTCTGAAATTATCTGGGCGAATATAAATTATTCAGAAACTCAGCTTAAAAATACGAAAAAATCAACTAAAATCAGTTTGGTATCAGATAAATTGTTATCCCATAGAAATGGATCATTGCCAAATAAATTGAAGCAGGTGAATTTTTAATGTCATTATTCACCTAATGTTTCTTAAATTTATCTAAAAAGTATTAAAACATTTTAATTTTTAAAGAAATTATTCTAAAAATTAGGATCATGAAAAAAAAACCGCCAATTTTCAAATGGTTCAAATCCACTTCAGGGTTTCTCAAATTCATTTATAAAATGTTTTCTGAAATCCATTTTTTTTAATCGGATGTTTTCTCTTCGAATCAACGAAAACAGACCATTAGAACATTAGAAAAACAGACCATTAGAAAATTGACCATCAGTTTTCATCCGTCTGCAATAAAATCAATGCTTGTGATTCGCAAGACTTTCGAGGGAAAAACATTTTGTAAACTCTTTCAAGCATGGCCTCCAAAATTCCATAAAAGCACATCCAAGCCCACAAAATATTTATGAAAGCGATTAAAATCATGAAAAAAACAAAATCAAAATACTGTACTGAACACACTCGACTAGATGTTTCTATTTGTTTGTAGGTAACACTTTGCAAAGACCACCAATGTTTCTTTTTTTCTCATTTCCCGACAGGAAAAAAACAAACAAATGTTTTTTGTTTTGTTTCTGAAAAGGTGGTCTTTTAGATTACATCAGGAATAAATAATTCACTCCATTTGAGTCCCAACACGAGAGTATTTTTCCCCCAGAAAAAAAAACCTCCTCTTCTTCATTTTTGTGGTTCCTTCCGTTTCTCTTCTCCTTGTTTTTTTCTTCGTCTTCTTCCGGTTTTTATCTGTGCGGTCCGCTGAAGGCTGATAAGACGATGTTGGGCGCGAAAACCCGGGGACCCAACGGGGAACCCGGGGTCGACAAGTGCCCGTCTGTGCGATGATGGGGGTTGAGAGCGTTTATAGACTGGGCTCGCTCAATGCCTTCCCGTTCTTGGCACCTCCTGGAAAATATAATCAATCATTATTCATTATCTTGAATACTATTAGTGTTTGATTTATAAATACAGTCGAACACCATCAACTCGAATGCCTCCCAATGTCGATTTTTTCCAGTCCCTGTCTGAATTCTCTGAGAAACAATGGATTAAAAACCCAATTCGAAGATTTTTTCCCTCTTCAAAACCTCCATATATTCAAATTTTCTGGAGGTTTTTCGCCTATTACTTTATTGAACTTGGGAAAGAGAAAAGCAATAAAAAATAAACTCCATGTGTTTTTGAAAGGAAGAGAAAGACTATAATTGGGCAAATGAATCCAAGTTCAGCATCCTGTCAACTCAATCAAGAAACAATTTCAGGCCTACAACTAGAATATCATCAATTACATTTTCCTGTGATTAATTTTTCTTTAGCTTGATTTTCCCAATTTTTGATCCTTTCTTGAGGTAGTTTTTTTATTTTCTTTTCAATGGCCCCTAGAATTTCAACTTGAAAATGTTTGACTGTAAAATAAAAGGAATGCGCTCTTAAATCTGCAAATATCTTTCAAGGCTCGAAGATTCGGAAAATACATTCGTATCATTTTACAGTAGAATCTCAACAACGAATTAATGCTTAAAAACAATTTGTTTCTTCAGTCACCGTCCAACAGCGAGAATGAAATTTAAATTTTGTTTAAATAATAATTATATTTATTTAATAATATACAGTATAATAATGATAATATTTAATTTTTAAAAATTTCCATTCATAATGAAGCCTTTTACAAGATCTCAAATGCTTCGTTATAACGTGAATCTCATTGTGTAGGGAAGTGAAAATCACATCCTTTGAATTGGAGAAAAGAGACTCGGAAACACTTTCGAAAAACGGGTGAAATTTCATAAAAACGGGATAACGTAATCCTAAACCGGATTTTTTACTGTTCTGATAAATTTTTTTCTACACATAAAAATATCAAATGGAAATAAGGGTAAGAATGAGAAAGAACTTGCTCTCCACATTCCACAAGCTAGGAGTCGCGCTCGAGCACTTGTACCGCGCGGGAAAAATATCTGTCAGAAGTGGGATTTGAACCCACGCCCTCATACGAGGACCAGAACACCCCATAGCCTTAACACAGGCAAGCTTGCGCTTGAGTCTGGCGCCTTAGACCGCTCGGCCATCCTGACAACTTGATGCATCATGCGCTCGCAACTCGCTTTAGAACATGTACGGAAATGCCAAAGTGAGGAAAATTGACACGGTATCTCAAACGGTTTTCCCCCCGCTGTTATTTTCAAGAAGTGCAATTTCAATTTGTTCAAATTTTCCAAATTTACGGAAGAAATTTCACAGGTACAATTCAGAACTGATTACTCATTTCCTTAGTCTTAGAATTTCAACAGAGGGACTTTTAGGGGTGCAAAACAAATTAGCAGTTTCACGCAGCCTTAGATCACTCTATTACTAGAGGAGACCACGAAGTCCATCAACCGGGACAAGGCAGTAATATGTATGTGTTCCACCAGAGAAATAACTTTGCAAGAATCCAGAATCTTTTAAATTTCCTGAATGACGTTGAGCATTGTTCACCAAGTCCTTGAAATAATTTTTCTACCTTCAAGACGTTCTATTTGAATTTGTCATTTGTTTTAGAATTTAAGAAAAAATTTCATAGGGAATTAAGAACTGATTACAGATTTGGATTGGCTCTGAATTTCAACAGTGGAGTTTTCATGGGCCTAAAATGAATCAGCAGTTTTACAAAGCCTTAGATAAATCTATTACTCCAAGAGACTGAAGTCCATGAACCGAGACTAACTTTCGAATAAAAAAAAATAGCGCGTTGTTCGCGTAAATAAAATTCAATAAAGAAAACAATCTCACCGGCAGTACTTGATGGTTTCCCTAGCGACCATGAAAATGATCCCCATGGTACCAAACGTCAAAATGGCGAATGACGTGATCCACATCCAGCCAGTGAAAACAATCTTTTCTTCGTCATTGGGCGCCATGCCTAGCAAGTCATTTGGTGCGAATGTCACAGTCGACTCGTACGCGCTTTCCCCGAGGTCGGCTTCGTACTGATCCTGGTCCTCGAGGGGTTCCACAGATGACGCCATCTTTCTTGTGGCAAGCAGCCACCGCATTCCTCACAATACACTTGCTCTGGACTTATAACGACACTTAATATCAGAACAAAACACACACACGGATACCAAGGTACAGTATCAAACACAGCCCGATTATCAGATCTCTGCACAGCGGAGAAATAGACCAACATCCTCATCACAATTGAACAACAGGATGAAAACAAATTCACATGTTTTGAGGACGTTTTTAAATCAGGGCTCCACATCAACAAGGCCAAGTCTAGTTTTGTAGTTCAGCAAATAAATTTGTTATTCAGCAGATAATCATAATGGGAGATACAGTATTTTGGTTGATCTAAGCAAATTTGTGCAGGATAGTTTTCGGCAGCATGGCCAAGCTTCACTAAAACAGGTCTGCATTTCACAGATACACGAATGAACTCTAACACAAAATTCAAGGACCAGAAAAAGAATTTGTCGTAGAGAACCCTTGTACTGTACCGAGGAAATTGTTGTAGAGAGAGTCTGCCTACAAAAATTTTGAAGGTTTGTTTTACAGGTCTATTTGGAACAGTCTTGATCATAATTTCTGCTAACTTCCAGATTTTGAAATTGAAACTCTCCATACAGTAGAATCTTGTCACAACAAACTGATCAAAAACATGGGGATCACTAAAATTGCCTTCTTTTACCAAAATATTCTTATGAAGAGACTCAAAAAACATTGCGGCTATTGAACAGGAATCTAAAATTTACTCATTTGTAAGCAATGCTTCGTGCTACCAAGATTTGTTGCAATGCATTCTAGGAAATGACTCATCTCATGAGTTTCAGAGGAATGGCAGTTTTCCGCATAACTAAGTGGTTTCACTACAGTTCATGTCAGTCAAGTGTACCACACATCCACTCAGTTGAATGAATTTCCCAAATTTAATTTTTTGCTGATGCAATTCGAAAGGCCCTGATTTGAAAGCATCCACAAATGTAAACACCATTCAAATTAAACAGCTGAGTTTTATCCAATGGAAAATATAGCACACAGCGTTGGGACACTCAGCCTACAAGAGGATGACCAAGGTTAAAAATATCTCTTGGAAATTTTTTTCTCTTTTGTTTTCTCATAAGAATGACGGAATGATTCTCTTGTCTCTTTGCTTTTTTCTCATCCCATGAGCGCAAAAATTTTCTGGCTGGGAAGAGAAAATAACGGAAAACTTTCTTTCCCACCTCACGGCAAGACTAGAGGATGTTCCACGCGCAATAACAATAAAAAGCACACAAAAATCAATACTGCATCGCAGCTAAAAGCACTTCTCTTAACCAAAAAAAAAAGGGAAAAATAAAACCCTAGTTTTTTTTTTTCTCTCAAGAAAGAAGCGAAACAAAACAAACCCCCCTTCAAATCTGATCACATAAATGTACACAGGGTGTTCCAACAGGGTGAGGCAAGAAAAGCCAGACTTTTCTTTTCTCCAAAAGTTTTCACCACCCAGCAAAAAAAAAAGGAATTCTCATTGGCGAACACCCTGTATAACATCGGAAAATATTTTTTTTCTCGCATCAAATCTGCTCAACTCAAAGAGAGAAAGTCGACGAATTGATAAACAACAAAAACTTAAGAATGACGGAGGTTTGCTTCCAGTTTCCATCAGCGTCGTCTAGAGATTAATGCTGCCCACTGGCGATTGATTGATTGATTGATCCAATGACTCGTCTCCTTCCAGAAACTCCGATCGATCCCACTTTTTTCTTTTTGATATACAGTACAGTTTTCATTCCCCGCAAGCAACTCCAAGCACTCATACACTGGCGCTGAGACTCACACGCTTCACGTATTACTTCATCCCTTCACGAATTCACTCGTATTGCCGCAAAGCGTCTTGCAACTTCCCAACAATCTGACAAGAGAAATGAAAAACCACATCCTTGAAATAAATCAACTGATGAAGTGAAAACTACTGTATATAAATTCTCGTAGTATTCAACTCGAATCCCGTCAATATCTCTGCAGCACCGTTTCTATGGCTTCCAGGAATTTTCGACAGGTAACACCCAAATCAGTAAATAGACCGAATGTAAGATAAATACTGTAATCCAACCCTATCAGAACTCGGCAATTGCATCCCATCATAATTTAACCCAACTTATAAAAAAAAAAGTACCAAAATTTAGAATATATCTTTCAAATAAAAAAAAAGTTGTATTGAGTACCTCAAACGTGAAAGGCATAAAACACATTCAACAATTTCAGCCTTACTCACAGTAGCCTAAATAAAGGGTTATTTCCCCGAAGTAAAGCGAATCATTTATGCTAAGTGATTGAATCAACGACACACCATCAACGTTTCTTCCTTCCGTTTCCCCGAAAGAAAGAAACGGAATGAGGGCGACACCTACAGTATTGAAGAGGAACTTCGGCAATTCGAAGACATAAGACTCACCTCTGCAAAGAACTCGCACGCCTTACAAAAATGCAATTCTTTCGTATAATAAATCATACCAATCCTCATCTCATTACAATTCTTCATAACGGGATTCAACTTACACTGATTTTCACACCTTTGCCTTCAACAATACGCTTTTGAGAAACTCGTATTCGTCAATGACAAAAAATTAATTTCTGCCTGAAATTCTACGTAAAACTTAACTTCTATTGACAAGTGGTAGACCATCACCACGGAAAAACTCGAGATTCAAAGAGTTGGAGAAAAACTGAAGAAGAAATAAGTCTTACGCGGTTATGGAATGCGATTTGCTGGGTGAGAAACTCGCGCATCATCTCGTTCATCTCCCGAACGAGTTCTTCGCGAAAATGGGTCATTTCGGCCATGGTGCTGTAGCTGACAACGTCGCATCGTCGACGGACTGACCGGCACAACTCCGCGTCCATCTTCCCTTCCTGCGTCATCTTCTCGCACTCTCTTCGTTTGCTCACCGCACTCTGCAAAAAATATAAAAAAAATTACACCAAACAATTTCAAACACTCGTTTTTTTCGTAGGCAGAGGCTTTTTAAACCTTGTTAAAACCATCAACGTTGAAAAAGGGATCATTCTTCCAGCAAAAACAACAAAAGAAAGGAATGTGAGATTTCAGCCTTAAAATCTCCCTGTCTTGAAGTACGCGTGACAAAAAAGGCAACCATTTTTGCGTCAGTAACTCGAGAAAAATCAATACAAGGGATTCCTGACAACTCACCAAATAAGAAAATTCAAATACTTTCATGCATCTGGTTTCTCATTCTTACAACTAAAATGATTCATGTCTTTCTTCCGTCAATAAGCAAGTAACCAAAAGTCTGATTCAACAGTGAACTGGCTTTCTGAAATTTAAAACATCACTAATGTCTAAGAGAGGTTGAAAAAATCCTTAAAAAAAAAAAAAATTACACAAGTCATGCAAGCTTTTTTGTGTGAAAGGAATTTGAAGAACATTTTTTCCAGCTTCATAAAATTAGAAAGCAGTGTCTTGGAATTACAGTAATGAGAAAATTATTTCAAAATGGTTTCAATGTTGCTGTGTGAGTTGTCCCGCAGCCCCTCTTTATTTTTTCCCACCCCTAAATTCTTACCGATTTCCAATGGTGGTTACGAATTTCCCCTGAAATTTTGAGTCACTTTTTTCCGAATAAAAAAGGTAGAAAGTTATTTCAGAAACATGCCTTGTGGAGCTGCAAAACGTCGGGATATGCGGCCAACATGCCTCGGTACTCGTGCATTTTGTCAGCCACCGGTTCCCAATCATACTTCGGCTGAGCTTCGCACAATTGCCCAATATTATCATACACGTTTCCGGTGAATCTCAAAGCATTCTTCAGCTTTTCCTCTCGCTCCTCTGCGAAAGAAAAAAAAATTAAATGAGTACTGAATAAAAACACGGGTTCCCATCTTGAAAACACACGGAGAAATCTGGGCGTAAAATCGCAAAAATTCAACATTCACGACCGACGAAAAACTTTCATCTGAAAAACCTAGAAACCCTCGGGTGGAATTCACCAAGGGCTCCAGGAAACTCATGTACAAGGCGTCAAATAAATAAATGTCATCAGTATCTTCAACCTATCCAATAAAAAAAATCAAATCTCACGTTTTAGCCCAAAACTTCTTGAAATGATGAGTGGTTCTACGCCGAAGAAGTTTTTACTTTAAAAAATGTTCGTGCCGTCTTGAAATTTCTCGTTATGCGCGAGTTAACTGCAATTAATCACGACCAGTTACAAGATCGAAATAAGACTATATTCAACATAGAAATGAGGTTTAAAAAAAATCAAGAGGGATAAGAAACGAGCAAAAAAAAAACCGAGAAGAATTCCACAAAAAGGGAGAGAAGACAAGGGCTTCTCTCTCGGAGCACAAGTGTCCAAAGCATCGACCAGACACACGCAGACAGACAGACCCAGACACACTCAACTCACCCAATGCCAAACAGCGATCGAAGTCGATAGCACTTCCGAGGCTAGAAAAGGCGGCTCCGATGGTGGAGTAATCCCGATTGTAGAACCGCTCCAACCGCTTGATCTGCTCAATACTCTTGACGCTCAGCCCCGTCGCAGCCTTCTCCAGCACGGGCACTACTCTGGCAAAATTCTCCATCTTTGTATCTCTGCATTTCACAAGAAACGGAGTGAGGAAAAAAGAAGAAAGATCATTATTTCTCAAAGGTATTGGATTTCTCCTGAAAGCTACCTCATTTGCACAACAACAACAAAATCTACAGGAAATTCATGGACCCCTGCTTTACTCCTTTCTGAGAACAATATCTCTGTTCCACTACTTCATCCATTTTTATTTCAAATTTTATATAGAATAAAGATGGACTCTCTCTACAACGATTTCCTCTGTATTACTAATCTTGTTTTGGTTCCATGGAACTCTCCCCATTTTATAAGGGTTTTCTGAAACAAAATTATCTCCACAATTGTGGCGAGAGTCCACATGTATCTATTTATTAGGTGATGTTTTGTATTCATGAATCTATACAGAAAAAATCCCAAGAATTCTATAAAGCGGCACATCATCCAGCCAATAAACTTCTCGGGACTCTTCAACCAATAAGCGATTTCATACGAATTTTAAATCATTTTTTCATCCGACTTTCTCCGGAACGAAGGAAGTTCCATCGACCAAGAAAAAAACAGTACCAGGAAATCCCTGACGCATCAAAAAGGACAGAACAACACACACAAATACAAATAAGCGGCGACATCGTGCGAGAAAAAAGAGAAACTCACGTTACATTATTCACGCGATTATAAGTACCCCTAGATTTTTCATGTAAAAAATTGAAATTCCAAGAATAAGTGATTTATATATATGCCCCCACTCACTTTCCTCGCGTCTAAAATTTCGGACTAAATCTAAGTTTTCCCCAGGAAAGGAAAAACGGTGTCACACAACCCTTGCTTTTCCCCTTCAGTCAATAACTCATGAATCTTCAAGTGCTAAGCACTGAACATTTCTTGATTATTCTCAACTTCAATCACAAAAATACTGCAGAAAAGAAGTCCTTGAATGCTTTTGTATGCTGCAAACAATAAGTTTTGCTAATATAGAAGCATATTTCATCAAATTTCAGTACTGTATATGAAAATGCTGTATAAGGAACACCTCTGTTTTTGAGCTTCTAAAATTGAAAAAATGCGTGCTTATACAGTATTTCGCGTAAATACGGTAAAATTATAACCACAGACACAAAACACACATTTGACTCACACAAACTCGGGTTTCAGCGCAGTGTCGGGGGCTTCAATGGCCAAAAACTGACGAGCCCCGAGGAACTCGTCCTTCTCCGCCCGACGTTTCCCGGCTTTCCAATCACGCTCGTCGTGGCAGCTGATGAAGTGGCGCCACACCTGGCTCCGGGCCAGCACCGGGTGGCGGCACACCCGACCCACCCACGACTCCAGCCTCACTCGACGATGCTCAATGAACTCCGTCTCGTACCGACCTGCAACAATTACACGGAAGATTTGCAAATAAATGTTGATCAATCATCAAAATAATTCTCCGCACGCAAAATATAAATAAAAAATGTTCACCACATTTCTATCCACCTCCAACACTTTCAACCTAAAAATAAATCTTGTACCCTTGAACTAAAAATTGGTATCGAGATAATATTTCAATTGAATTTAAACTTCATTCGACTAAAAAGTCTGAACTAATCGGAAGCAATCCCATTTTCATCTTACGAATCCGAGGCACGCAATACTTTTCTCGTCGTCAACCTTGTATTTTCGAGAATAAAAAATAAATAAATGAAGACTCGTACCTTCGGAAAAATAATGCATTAAGCCACTGACAAAGGAAACGATATACAGGTACAATATTTATGCGACTTCAAGCACCCACGTAGATTTTTCATGCACAAAATTTGAATTCCATTTAAATTATGCGAACATGGACGCCTAAAACTCTCTAAATGAATTCAGGTTTTCCTCAGAAAATGTAAACCTATGTTACGCAAAACTTCCTTTCAGTCAATGACTCATGCATCTTCAAATGCTAAAAGCCGACAATTCCTTAATTTTCAACTTTAATTAAAAAAGACTGAAAAAAATGGTGGGTCATTGTTTGGGGGAGGAAAAAAAGGAAGATTTCGGGAAACAGACGAATATTAACGCGAATTTGCATAAATATGCCAAAAGAAGCAACCCTCCCCAAATATTTAAGGGGGGGAAAAGGGTCCTTATAACGTACTCACGTTAAAACGATTTTATGTTAAGCTGGACGCGTGAAACCGAGAGACTCACCAGTAACACTTTTGTCAGGCAATGGCGAAATGGGAATGAACGTGAATTTCTCCTCGAGCCGCAAATGAAGCCAGTCGAAGTGTTTGTATCGCCGGGTCACGGGGGTCCGGGTCGTGTTCGGCGTGATGTTGTACTGGATAAAGCTCTTGAAACCCTTCAGCTTCGACGCCTTCTGGGGTTCTGTCACCATGCATGTCATGGTCTCTTCTAGCGGCTCCCATCTCACGTGATCGTCGTTGTCCTGAAAAAAAAAGAGAAGGGTGAACACAAAATGAGCAACATTTATTTTTGAATTTTTCTGGAGAATTTCAGAAAAGTACTTGCCAAGATTCGCATGCGATCTTCGGCATTTGCAGCAACAGTTCCTCCGCCAAGAAGATAATCTTCTCCACCTGTCTTCACGAAACCCGTGAAGCGGTTGAAGGTTCGTCTCACTGTTCCACTACCAGCAGGTCGACCTGTATTCACAAAATGTCAAAATTATTACTGTACGGCATTTGCAAATTATTTTAGAAAAACACTTCGGATAAACTTCAAGAAAAAAGGAAAACTCGCTGGGAATCCTCAGACATCGAATGACCCATCCAAGAAAGGGAATTTGCGATTTCTCGTCTTCTTCAAATTCAAAAGAGCTACTGAAATCATTTCACCATTCGTAAAATTATGTGCGAAATAAGTTATAGAAAAGTAATCCATACAAGTAAAAAATAAAATAAAAATATCACGAAAAGAAAATTTTCTGGAAATCACATCGAATGACCTTCAATACATTCTTCGAAGAAAGAAATTTGTAAATTCGTACTCTATTCAAATACAATACATGGATTAACATTCTTTTTTCGTCTTCTTTAGAAAAGCAGAGCCTGAAAATTTCAAGATTTTTCAAAAGTTGGAAAACGTAATAAATTCCCTTTAACAACAGAAAAAAAACCCGCTTCAAAATTTCGCATCGATTCGGATCACATTGCTAGCACAAATCGTAGCAAAGCACTTCGCGGACTTCACACAGTGCTACGAAAGAAATCACGAAAATGATTTTCGAAAACAATCGAACGAATTTACCTCCTACCGGGTCGTCGGCAGAACTGACGGAAATTTTATGTGAAGGAGGTTGTGGGGCATGGGCACCAGTTTCACTGTCATCGTCCCAATCGTCATCCCAATCCTCTGCATCCTGACTAGCGACCTGAAACACAAATCAAAGCTCATAGTTCAAATTTCTTCCAGTTCTAGAACAGGGCTTTCTTACCCCCCTTCCAGAGAATAATATTAAAATTTGGAAGCACAGCGCAATAAATCCTGATCATGTTCATCAGTTCATGTAACACTTCCCTTGGCGTACCAAGAGAAAAATGCCAACACCGAATAAGCCTTCATTGCTTCATCATCACCACTTCAAATATTTAACTCGCGAAATTATTCGTTTTTCCAATAAATCATCGATCAAATCATGCCTTGATGTATTGGTATCAAGAGATTTTGGATAAAGAGCAAAAAAAATTCGAGCTGAGAAAACGATCATTTCTGTTGGGGCAAAGAAGGAAGAATCAAAGGATTTATCATTCGCGATATTCTAGTCCTTAAATTGCTTCTAAAATGAGTTGACAGGATGCTGTGGTTGAATATAAGGCTTCATTTCCCTTCCTTTCGAAACACATCGAGTTGCATTTTTATTGCGTTTCTCTTCTCTGTGGATCAAATATTCAAAAATGATAAAATTATCGCAAAAAGACATTCAGAAAATTCAGGTCATTTTGCTTTAGGAGGATAGTTACAGAGATATTCAAGAAAATGCAGGCAGGAACTTGAAAAAATTAGACATGAGGAGGTTCGAGCTATCGAGGCTCAACTGCACTGTACATGCACTCACGCTTTGGAGAGCAGGAGTGGGTTTCGGGTTCTGGGCTGACTGACTCCAAGGATCATTCCAGGTTTCGTTGTTACCGGAATATTCCGCGGGGAGTGGGGGTGGAGGTCCTGGAGGGGGTTCATGCAGCTCCTGAACATAGGCTGCTGGGAAGAGGCCGACTTCGCCGCGCTCGTTCCGACCTTCCCACCATCCTTCACCGATATCCTGACGCGTGATGGCCAATGTTTCCCCGGCATAGACCGAAAGCTCACTAGTGCCCGGCTGCGCTTCGAAATCGTACAACACTTGCGCCTTCGCCATCGGCTACGAATCACGCGCGTTTCTCTCCACGACTAGGCCGAAAAAATACGCGAATATCTGCGAAAGATTGGAAATGCAGCACTTCAGCGACGCAATTATCAATAAGACGAATCTAGAAATTAGCAAGACCTCACGAAATCAAATCACCAAGCGAACACAATCACGAGAGAACTCCGTTGAAAAACTTCCGCTAGGAATCAACCCGCTGAAGTCTCAATGAATAAAACATCACAGGACGAAAAAAAAAGGAGAGAGAATGAGGGCGAATAGTCACGAGAAAACTTCCGAAGAGAATCAATTCATAGCAACACCGACACCAGAAGGAATTGAAACACTCAAAATCACGGACAGGTGACGAATCGAAAATATTCTTCGGGGACTGCAAAAATCTTAGATCGAACTAAATTTAAATGTGAATCAGGTTGCTCATCAACATTAAGCAGAACATATTCAGGCTCATTCCAAGATAACGAAGAAAAAAAAAACGCACTGATCCATATAGTAGATACTCGAGCGACGCAACAAGTATCCAAACGGGGTCTGAAAGTTAGCACCACCTCCCAAAATTAAATTTGAAAGTGACCACAGCCGTAGGCGAACAATCACGAAGGAACTCCACAGAAAAACTGACTGATTCACGAATAAGTCACCGGCACCTCAAGGTAACGTAACTACCCATAACACCAAAGAGGGACAAACCAACCAAGCCACTCAAACGTTATAAAATCACATGCAATAAACCGAATACCTTATATGTGTGTTCAGAAAAAAAATTGAGCATGACACCCTGAAGAACTGCTTAGTCCTACCGATACATGCACGTCCGATTAATCAACGTGATTATAAAATCTTCGAATGACTCGATGAGCATTGAAAAAAAAAAAACCTGTGGATTCCACGATGTACCACAAAGACGGAAGTCGGAGATACTGTACTGTACAACCATATTTTACACGTCAATCAAGATAAGGCACGCAAGAGTTAAAATCATTCCTGATTCTTCGAACACGGACTTCCCCCACATCATTTTTTTGCTCAGCAATACTCGGGCGCAATTCTTTTCAAATTCTTGGAAACACCATGAGCGCACAGAACGTTGTTCCGAACCACGGAGTCACAGCAGAGGACAAAGGGTGGGTGACTTGAACAAATATCTTGTACACTTTTTCTCGAGGTGCGGGGAAGCTCCAGGAATGCGGAAATCCCAACCAAAACGTAGATCCCCCAACACTTGAGAATACGTAATCACTTCCACTCCATGGGTAACAAATGGCTTGGGTCTTTCCTGGCACTCACACAACCCGGGCACATGATTTGTCACCTCTCCTCTGTATTCATGCCCCATCATCACCACCAGCACTAAAATGTACATTTCCTTGAGCACAGCACTTTGGCACAGTGTCCAACTTATATAGATAAGCCCTCTACCATCAGCTGAATGATACCCTGTCATTCATCTCTGGACCTTCCCAGCAGGATGGAATTCCTAGACTGCCTGTAAAATATGGAATTCCCTCATGGCCTTGCCTCTTTTGAATCCATTTGAATATCTGAATTTCAGCATGTGTGAGAGAAGAGAAAATTATAAAGGGCTCTGCTGCTGCTACTTCCCACCCAAAACCAGATAATATGCAGTTCCAAGACACAGAGAACACAGCTATATCAATCACTTGGGAAACAGGAAATTGGATTTCCCAACCAACCAACCAAACCAGTCACTAGCTCAGTCGGGTTTCCAACAGCAAAGAGCTGCATGTGCATTCATTTCCCAGCTCAAAGACGACCGGGTTTCATGACACTGACACACACAAACACACTTCACCATCTTCTCCCATCACTTCTTCTCCTCTCCTTCATCTCATCTTTCCGCTGTTTGGTGCATGTTACAGAATCATCTCGCACACTTGAAAAAAAAAAAGAATTTAAATACGAAAAGCAAGCAGAGATAACTTGCATCTCCCATCACTTCTTCTCCTCTCCTTCATCTCATCTTTCCGCTGTTTGGTGCATGTTACAGAATCATCTCGCACACTTGAAAAAAAAAAAAGAATTTAAATACGAAAAGCAAGCAGAGATAACTTGCAGCAGGTATTATAAGAATAACTTATATACTACACAGAATACATGAGCCCAACCCTTGAGCCTCGTAAACGGCCGCGAACATATTAAACGAACACAGATAAAACCCACAAGCTGCGAAGAAAGATGCTTCAGCAACGCATGCGTGGTTTCATTACTACCAGGAAAGTCTCTCTGAGGTCGGCTGAAAAATAAAAAAAAATAAAGAGTCCAGCATCTTACAGGGATTAATGTGCATCACACCACTCACACAGCATATAATAAGGCATTTTGAAACAAGGTCACGCACAGCAGAAGCAACAAAAAAAGGTGAACTTGATTCGTTTACATGATGTATATTCAGTGACCTAGAATCGCGTGTTCAACACGCCCACCCAGAAGGATTCTATGATGTGAGCCTGCTGCTAAATACTACTGTAATACAGTATATTGAAAAAAAAGTTTTCTTTCATTGAAAACAATGAGAATAAAACAATGAGAACTGAGTCATGTCCTTGAAATTAAAACCTTGTGGTTGATGTGGGAAAATTTGCAGTTATTCATGCAAATTTGATTCAGCCCTCAAGGTCAGGTTCATGAGTTACTCTTTGTTCTTCGGCTGAAATTTAATTAGTTGATAATCACAAGAAAAATTAGCAGCCATGGAGAAAGAGTTTAAAAATTGCCTTCAGAGAAAATCACACTGTATTCTTTTACAAAAATTTACAGTACCTTTTAGCAATCTAAAATTCCACCACATTATCATAATTGAATGAAGTTTCACAGAAATGTTGCCTGTGCTCTTGTTGATAAAAACCAAGTAAAAACTTTTTCCTATACATGTCTAAAATATAAAACTTCAATTAAAAAATCACTCATCAGCGCCAAAAAATTATACTTCCATTAACGCTTCTTGAATCAAGGGAAAATTGAAATTGCCCAATCAAAACATAAAATATTGAAGTTACAATTTTTGTTGAAGGTCAAATAAGTCAAGTTAAATCCCACTTCCTTCAAAGAATCAATGTGAAACACGATGGGATTATTCCCAAGTCCCTGTTCTCAGTCTCAAAGAAAATAAAGTTTCCAGATTGGGCTTCAAAAATGTTTCCAAACTTTCAATTTATTTAAATATATAGAGTTTACAAATAATAGTCTGCATGGTTCTTCCAAGGTCACATTTTCACCTAGAGAACCAGCAGAAAAAATTTTCAACTCACTTTTCTGAGGAGCAAAAATATTTAAATACTGTATACTGTACATTTTTCCTAAGGATCAACACATTCAAAATGTCTTTGAACTTGTTCATGAATTTATAAAAATCTGCAACATGT